CTCTCTCTCTCTCTCTCTCTCTCTCTCTCTCTCTCTCTCTCTCACACACACACACACACACACACACACACACACACACACACACACACACACACCGAGGAATACACGTACACACACAGAGTCTGGGTTTTTGCGAATATGACAACACACACGTACACACACACGCACATAGACAAATAAACAAACACGCTCGGCCTAGGAGTCTTCTGGTGTAGGAGTACAACACTCAGTGTAGGACTTTTTCAGCTTAGCTCGGGTCGTAATGCCGGTCGGATACGTCCAGGTAATATGCTGTAATTGCGGTCAGATACGTGTAGGGAAGTGTCAGGAAGTGTGAGAGCAGGCCAATATATAAGTCGAAGCTTGCTATGATGATCCCCGCCACCGCGGTCTTACCTAGAAGAGGGCATATACCCCTGGACCAGCATGGGTATCCCGTCGCAGCAGATGGTCTGTACGTCAATATGGGTCCCACTGCCCGGCCACTCCAAACGCGAGGTCCAACCCCTACATGTCAGCACCCTCAGGCTCAAACTACTAGTGCATTTGGCGGCTACCGCAGTCCGATGACCGTTTTCGACTTCCCTCCTCCTTCTCCCGTTACGGTATCCCATCCTCCTCCTCCTCCTCAGCCTCATCCCCGCTCTGTCAATCGCGGACGTGGATCCGATCGCCATGGTCACGCCGGCCGTATTCCGAGGGGTACCAGTGGGACTCGGATCCCAAAGCCAGCCCCTACACCAGCCCCAGCCCCAGTCCCATTTCCACCTCCTCAGGCTTCCAATCCTCCACATCAGACTAGCGGGTTCGGCGGATACGCAAGTCCCGGAGATGTCTTTGATTTTCCACCTCCTACTCCTGCCGTCCCTCCGCCTCCTCCCCCTCGTCGTCCTGATGTGAGCCTTGGGTCAGACCGTCGACCTGTGGCTGTTCCTCAAGTGGCTCAGGGTCAACCCTTCATCTTCCAGCCTCGCGAAGAGGAGTGGTACCTCCCCTCTGGCGGCAAGCCTGCGGTAGGCAGGTTCTCTCACTGGATTATGATCCTCGTCGGAGTGTGCTGCACCCTCGCTGCAAGCTCTGTGTACATGATATGGAAGCTCATGATGTTCGTACGGCTATGGCGATCGGCGACTTTCGTCTCCATCTTCTTCTTCCTGCTTGAATGCGTCCTCTATGTGGCCGGCTTCGTCTACCTGGTGGAGTTCTCTCGTCCTACCATCCCTCGCACGAAGAAGCTCCTGCCCCTGTCTGGTCCCTTTCCCCTGGTCGCCATCCTGATCACATGCTGTAAGGAGAAGCTGGATGTTCTCAAGGACACCGTTAGGGCTGCCCTGTCGCAGAACTACCCGGCCGATCGCTACTGCGTCTGCGTCTTGGACGACGGAGGGGACGACGAGCTGAAGGAATGGATAGAGCTGATGGCCAAGCAGTTGCAGAGAGGGTTGTGGTACATTCGGAGGATCAAACAGGAGGGAGTGCCGCATCACTATAAAGCCGGGAACTTGAACTCGGCCCTTAGGGAGGTGTGGGGAGAGTTCATTGCTATCGTCGACGCAGATATGGTCCTCTCACCCAACTTTCTTGCCGGCATGCTGCCGCACTTCACTTCCAGAAAAATTGCTTTCGTTCAGTCCCCGCAGTCCTTCTACAACATCCACCCAGGAGACCCTCTCAACGACAGCGGCATCTTCTTCTACGATCTCCTGCTTCCTCATCGAGACGCCTGGGGATCCGCGCAATGCGTTGGTATGTATTATCCATCTCAGCCCATCTGTGAACGTCTACACACCTGTTGTACGTTTGTGTGTTTGCCTTTGTGCGCTCGCTTTTGTGCGTATGTGCTTTTGCGTGTGCTTGTGTGTGTGTGTGTGTGTGTGTGCGTGTGTGTGTGTGTGTGTGTGTGTGTGTGTGTG